GGAAAAACAAAAAAATTTGGAAGCAGGTGTATCATGCAACAAGGAAGGGAAGGGGTCATATGACACTAGGGATAAGGAACAAACATGACACACCTGTGTTTCCAAGTCCATAAAATCCGATAAATGTCTAGGAGCATCAACAGCAGCTGATAAAGGCTGTACAGCAAAGGAAGGAGAAGAAAAAAGGCTGTCCAAGTCTTGGTCCTACTGTCCAGTGTCTCCAGGGTAGGGGAGAACCGGTTGAGGGTCAGGAGAGTCATAAGTCTGCATGAACGACTTCATTTCCTGGTGGACCCATGCTGAAACCTCCTCTGCCAATAACATTACACACATGGTTACAGCAACAGGTGGTTGAATCATGGTAGTGGTAGCAGTTGAAGTTGTCGTGACAATAAACTGTGAAGTCATCACTGAATTTTGAATGAATAAGAACATCAAGTCGAAAAATCTTGGTTCTTGTTAAAAGAAAGTGAAAAAATTTTCACACAAAAAATTCAACTTGTAGTAAACTGCTGTTACATTATCAAAGTTGAACATTTAAGTTCAAAAATTAAGTAAAAAAATACAATTTTGCAAAATTAGAAAACTGGCTGCATGAGGAGAGTGTGTTGTATTCCTACTGGTGGAGAGTTGTCACATGCTTTTGTATGCTACAGTGCAGCTGTATGTATAAACATGTATGTTTAAATGACTATGTCTAAATCCTATCTTCAAATGGTACGTGACGAAGTAATTAAACAGATCTAATCATTATAGTCTATGTGGACCTATGAAGGAGTAAGGAACAAGGATCAAATATTACTCACTATGTCTACATGCAAAGAAGTAATGGACTATAACAAAATATTATTGTTTAAATGTGACTTGTCAAGTAGTAATGGATGAAAACTAAACATCACTCTCCACAGGTACAAATTATGCAGTAAAGAACTATGAGAAAACATTAATCATTAAGTGGACATGTTAAGGAGCAATAAACAAAGGCTATACCTCATTGTTGACACTGAATGGTATTTCTGTATTGATATGTCAGTTTATTAAACCATTCAGGATGATGCTTTCGTGGTCCACCACTCCAGCAGCTTGGAAGTGGAAAGTGGGGAGAAACATGGTGAGGAGTCCAGAGAAATGTCAACAACTGAGACAATGGGAGCAACGGGTGACCATGAAATCCTTTTTTTTTACTGATTTATCCAATATAAGGTATGGCAGGGATATGCAGCTGTCCCCTTCCAAGACAGGCATATTTACAAACCAATTTCACTGTGAGGATAGCCTTCAAACAATCTTGTGGAACACCATATCTCAATAATGTGCATTGCGTGGCCATTGAACAGAATAAGCAAGTCGACATGGCTTAAAAGTGTGGATTTTAAAGATTAAAGATTATCTGTTCAGGCACCACTTGCCACAGGGCAGGATCTAAACAATGAGTAATTACCATGAAAAGAGAAAAAAGGCCCAAAAAAAATTAAACAAGAATAAATAAAAAATAACTTACCCAGTCAAAGTCACATGGAAGTCTGAAAAATGGCTACAGGCAGAAGACAATAGCATGAAGAGGAAGAAACTGTGATCCTATGCAAATAGTGATAGATGAACATATTAGCAGTAGTCCACATGTGCAATTGAAGCAGTTCCTCCAGCAAACAACAAAGCTAAGATGCCAGAGAAAAGATAAGGTGTTGAATTTGATGAGAAAACACCTGGAATAAAGTACATTAGGACAAGAAAAGAGAGGAATAAGCCAACTGAATCAAAAGCAGAACCAAATTTGTGAGGATGGAAGGAGAAAGATCACAAACAGGGTATGCTTGACAAGGGATAAAGTGGCTGGGAATGAGCACCATGGATGGAAGCCGTGCAGGCAATATAATATCGAAGAGCATGGACAGGACATAGAAGTTTATCCGGATCAAGCCAAGGATAAAGGTGGGAAATGGAAAAAAAATGGGCAAAAAAAGAGGAGTTACTCTCCCTTGCTGCAGAGGTTTTGGGGAATAAAGAATGATACAGATAAAGGAGAAGATATGTAGGATGATATAAAGTAAGTGAAATATTGATGGCAAATAAATCAGACTGCCAACATTCACAGAATAAGAGGAGAAGGAAATAAGTCTTAAGGGAAAGGTGAAACAAGAAACTTATGGAAAGTGGTTTGAATGGAGCCAAAGTGAGGCAATGAAGGACCACATAACATCCTAGTCTAGAAGGGCAGCCTAATGCAGAGGACAATGAATCGAGAAAGAATGTATCAAAAGGGATAGTGTAGGAGAAATAAATACCCTATAGTATTGGTAAAATCAGAAGTTGTGGGACATAGTTGCCTAATAACCAGAAATCGAGGAGACTGAGGATCCCTAAACAAAAAGCAAAGTAAGAATCTCAAAAATATGAGGAGCACTGGGTTGACCAGCTGAAAACCCCCAGCCCAGAGACAGCAGAAAATGTTCTATTTACACGAATAAACTTCCATGGAGGAAGGGCAAAAGGAATGAGCCAGAAATGAAGCTAAATGTGGGAACAAGCCTGATTTTTTTGCCAAGAACCAGATAAAAACCAAATATGAAGATGGAGGACAGAATGATCAAGATGAAACACCAATGACTGAGCTTCCCAAATAAGGTGGTAAGGAGCAATCAGAAGGACTTGATATGGAGTGGTATGGATGATCAAAATCACACAGTGAAGAATTCGAGAGGGAGAATAAACGTATAGGTATTTGTTGGTCCAATCCTGACTGAAAGCATCAACAGCCAGGGCAAGATGATGAGGGACTGAAGACCAAAACAGAGGTAGTTTGTGGTTGAAGAATGTGGCAAAGGCAATGATGTGAGAAGTTACCCCACTGAAGGTTAGGCCACTGGAAAACAAGAGGATTGAGAGACCACTCCGTCAGATAGATTTTCTCTGGAAGGGAAAGACAATCTGTGACAAGAATGAAAGCACCCAGAACGTATCATGCAATGATGTGGATATCTTTTGTGTGGGCCCAGAAAATGAAGATCCAACATACAAAAACATAGGGATCGAGAATGGGTACCACCTTGGTGATAGAGATGAGCAACCACTTTGGAATTGTTGGAATGAATCATTACCAGACAATGTCTGGCCAGATGGAGGAAATAATCCGAGGCCCAACGTATAACTAGAAGCTCCAGAGTGTTGATATGATAAGACTTTTTGGCTGCAAGCCAACACTCCGAAGCCTCCTGTTGATCAACCCACACACATCCATGAAAATATGTAAATCTGGATGAGGAGGAGGAATCTGGACACTTGCCAATGTGCGAGTCCTGTCCAACCACCAATGCAGATCACCGGCTATGGTAGGAGGAAGGGCAATAAGAGCCTGCAAAGGATCCCCTGCAAGATTCCACTGGTCGTGAGGAGCCCACTGAAGAGCTCACATATAAGCAAGACCTAAGGGGATAAGTGCAGCCATGGAAGATCACATCCCCAAAAGTGATAGAACCTCACAAGCTGTATAAATGAAGCAGGTGAGGCATAGAAAGACACAGCAAAATCTCGTGGTGGAAAAAGGCTATCAAAATCTTCCTCAGACTGAAAAGGTTCAGCTTGTTCTTTAGAAAGTGGGGCAAATTCAGGAGAAGGTGGTTGACCTGTATAATGATCAATCTCTCAGCAAATAATCACGGAGAAATCCGACAATGGGTCCCCCACCTACTGCCAGTGAAAAGGTGCTTGAAGGAGGTGTGATACCCAAAGTTATAACATTAACCTTGGGATTCATGGTAAATAATAAATCAAAAAAATTGTTTGCTGGTTGAATACAGATGTGCAAGAGAGAAAAAAAAATAAATAAAGATTGGAAAGTGAATTGAAAATAAAGTCGTCAGCTGTATAATCAAAAATGATTAATAAAGAAGATCATTTTGGAAGTATGACTATTTAAGTTATAAAGAGGATGCACACAAAACAAAATTTTAAACATCTTAAGACGAGCACTGCCAAATGAGAAGCGATAGTCTGGTAGAATTGAATAGAGGGAATCACATGCGTAAAGAGAGAATGTGGCACTCTCAGTGGTGGTTGTTGCATGATGATTTGCATGAGAGACATATTGGAATGAGTCATTACCAATGGAGGGGTTGCAGAAGGCTTGTGGCATGAGTGAAATTAATTTTTTTGCATATAGAGTGTAGCACCAAACAAAAATAGCTATTTATGTGAGAAGAGGTAATGTACTGTATCAGAATTCATAATGTAAACCAAACACAACTGTGTTGGTAAAGAAAGACAAAGACAAAATTAATTAATTTCCATAACTGGGTTTCAAAAGTGAAATAATACCACTAAAAAATATCAAAATGGAAATTATAGATTGTAATCTAGAAATAAATGGTATGAAAATTCAACTTGAGAGAGCACTAATGAAAATATCTCAAACAAGAAGTGATAGGTAGAATATCATACAGGGAGTCACATGAGTAGTGTGTGTGAGGCACATCTATTGGTGGAGGGTTATCGTATGATAATTTGCATGTGTGAATCAGTTAAACCATGTGAAATGAGAGGGTACATTAGAATAAAAGGCTTGTGGTGTGCAAAAAAATTTTGCAAATAGATGGCAGCACAGAATGATTATAGCTATGTATGCAAGTGGAAGTAAGGTTCCTTCTTGGAACTTTTATTTCTTTAAAGAATCAGTTAAACCATATTTAAATGATTCTTAATTCTAATGAGAAATATCTATATCAGATAATATTTTGTTTCTCAACACTTTGTTTAGGGACTATATTTAATGACTGAGAACAAATTTTTTGTGTTATGTTTCTATAAAGATTGTACTATTTATAAATACAGTTGTGAACTCCACCGAGATTTACATAAAATATTCTTCGGCACACGAATTACGACGGTTGTAATCTTTCCCCATCAAGTATTTCAGGAATAGCTTCTTTCTGAGTTACATATTGCTGTATCAAAATAATACTTGATTAAATTAATTTATGAATTTAACATCGAACTTAAATCACCTTTGAACTTTGTTCTGGTTTTGACATTATGGTTGATACTTCAAAATCTTCATCTGACTCTCCATCCATTCCACTAATAACATGGACTCCATCACCTGCCCCTGACATCTTACCTGTGTTAAATGTAAGCAAACTTTATCAAAAGCACTTTTTATTAATAAAGAAAAATAGAAAATCAAAGTCTAGAAAGCATCTAACGAATCAATGTTTTTATATCATTTACTTTCTTAGTAACGTCATTTGTAATATTGGTTCAAATTTTATTTAGAACAAAAAAAGCTAAAGTTTTGGTTATACTTGATTTTCAGAATATCCCTGTAGGTAATTGGTATGATAAACAAGTAATCATACATTAGAAGCAAAACTATAAGTACACTCATACATCACAATTTCATTAAAAAATACTGATTTAATTCCTAGAATTAATACATATCAGGTACACTATAATACAATGATTACGTTATTACTCAGTGTTTGGCATATCAGTAAAATTACAGATCTAAACTAAATTGTTTTCCACACTTACAATAAACAATGATTCAGAAAACTGTTTCGTCAGAGTTTATAATCATCACTTAAACCAGCTTACATTTTCTTCCTCTTGAAGAGATTTTTAAACTCAAAGGCTGCCTGCTAATCTTAGAATACTTGTATTCCTGTATTTTTATTTTAACACATTTTATGCTTTCAATCAATACAGTGTACTTTAAAGTCATCCTACATATATATTTCCCATATACTCTTATCTTATTTCCTTTCCTGGATATTTGTCAATGTATCAGCATAGAAGTTAATGCATATAGCATTTAAAACATTTCCTGTGAAACTATTGTTTCATCTCACTTTGAACTGTAACAAAGAGATTGTTTTAGTAGCATTTGCATAATACATAACATAAAATGAGGTTATGTATCAATGTCATACATATGAGAAATGAAAATTGTATTTTAATTACAATTTAGGGAATCACTATCCAACAGGGCTGATGTACTCAGGTTTGGTAAACAGTGACCTACAATAAAGTACACTTGATTTTATATTTTACTTTCTACTTCAGGCAAAGACACTGAGTGAAATATTAAAAATTATTTCCAGTGATTTTGTGGTGATGTGACATATTTAGTATCCAAACAGAAATACGGACCATTTAAGTACATGTTATACACTTAATCAAACACATAAATGCTCCTAAATAGAAAAAATAACAAGACTGAATTCTACTTTGTCCCAGGTGTTAAAGAAAAAAGTGATATTATGTAAATACAATTATATTTCAATGAACAAGTCTTCTCTAGCTTGGCATACAAAAACAAGTTTACCATAGATAAATCACTCAAAAAACATGTACCACAACATTGAATTGAATGTATAACATCTCATGACTCTCTCAGCTCTAATGACTGTGAACTCTGCTGATCTACAAATCCTATAAGTGTGCTAATACATGTAGATCAAAATATAAGTTAAGTGACTTCTCCAACATTCTGAATTAAGTAATAAACAAACAGAAGTTACAGGAGATGCTTAATTGACCTACAATTGATTCTGATCAAATCAAACACCCTATAGAACTACTTTACTTTCACCATCTCTATAAGTTAAATGGCCAGAAATAAAGTCTGTTTCGTAAACCATACATCTAGGAAAGAATCACATTTCTGATACTTTAAAGCCCTGGGAAAAAACCTTGTTTGGCATTGGTGTTTTGTTTATTTTACAATTCTCAATCTTTCTACTGTCCATCATGTGATTATTTGTAGAAAATAATCACAGGGCTTTATCCTATCAACATAATCTTGTAAGCTTCAATAACATTCCCTGTTACCTTTCCTTTCTCAAGAAAAATTTTAGTTTAGCCCAATGTAATTATCCTTCCACACTCAACATCAACCTTTTCTTTGAAAAAAGTTCCTGCTTATGTAGATGAGGGTAAAGGTGTAGATATAGTGTATCTGGATTTTCAAAAAGTATTTTACAAGGTGCTACAGAAAAGGCTTGTTCAAAAAAAAAAAATTAGTGTTGGGAACAAGTTGACTCTTTGGATAGAAAAGTAACTGGATGGAAGGAAACAAAGGGTTGTTATAAATGGAGTTCAGTTTGAGACTGTACGGGAACATCTCTAATGAACTCTCCATTGCCAAAGCTCAGTGTTGAGTTCTTTGCTCCCTTTGATTTGCATCATTGACATATATAAAAGGATTGTCAATAAACTACTTATATCTGCTGATGATATTAAAATCTTGGATGTTTCTCACTGTGAGGATGATGCATTTACTTTAAAAAATGATCCAGATCATTTGACAAGTTGGGGAAATAAATAGCAAATGGCTTTTAATTATAATAAATGCAAGGTAATGCATGCGTGTTATAATAACTAAGTTTAATTTTGATGGAAATAATCTTAACAATGTTATGAGCAAAAAGGATATTCATTGTTGGATTGATCAGTATCTTAAGCCATTCAAACAGTGTGCTGTTGCTAGTGGTAGGACAATTAGGTTTCAGGTTGTATCTATATAAATATTTTAATACAAATTACAAGTCTAAAGATGTTATTTTATTGTATTGGTTACTGTTTAGGCCTCATTTGAAGTATCGTGGTAAAACTTGTGATCCTTATTACAGGAGGGACATTGAATTGTTGGAAATGGTCTGGAAGGTAACTACGAGGAGTAGGATGACCTGGGATGAAAAAAAAAAAAAGACTAGTCTTATGTAAAGTTACATTAGTTTCTCTGAAGTTGTCTTCTCCTGAAAAACAAATGATAGGGGATCTGACCGAGGTGTTAAAGATTGTTCTAGTAATTGCTAGTGCCAATGCTTCATCTTTTTTTATATTTAATGATGAGAACTGTTGGTCTAGTGGACACAAATAGAAATTTTGGTAGGTCAAGAGTCATCTTCTGTTAATACAGTTTTATTTTTCTAACAGGGTGACTGGCCTTAAGAATGGGCTGCTTTCGGATACAGTGGATGCAGTAATACTAATAGTAATACCGAAGGATTTAGAAAAAGGCTTAAAAAAATATTACAAATTAAGTGGTTAGGGTTGGCTTTGAAAGTTTGCATTATTAATCATTATTATCTTCTTTTTTTTTTTGTCTTTTTATATAACTTTGTTTAACGGATTCGATAGTCTAGTGGAACGAACAGGTCCCTTGTTGTCCTTAAATTTTATGTTATGTATTACTAATAGTAATCATACATGTAGCAGATAATTCAATTGATAATTATATATTTAATTTTTGTTCAATCAACTCCACACAAGGCTAAGCCGTTTAATAATAATATAAGTATAAGTACTATAAGTACATAAATTTATATCATAGCCGTAAATAAAGTTTCTGTTCAAAATAAATTAAAAATTATTTCCAGAAAGCGATGGAAATAGCAACTACAAGTACAACTATTTACTTTTGTAGAATACTTACTTCACTATTTCTTTTTTTTTCTTCTCCTGCAAGTTTTAATACTATCTAACACACTTAGTAGTAGCTTAAACTAGTGCTGCCCTCCCTTCAAAAAATACGTATTGGTATAGATTAAGAATTTTTTATTGCGCTATCTGTATAATGGGTGTGATTTGTCTTGTCAGTGACAATAGTATAAAAACAAAAACTACCCATTATGTCAGAGTAAAACATACGTAACTTTTATAAGGAATATTTCCGGAAGATACCGAATTCTATTTATATTTTGTTATTGTTTACCATTTATTTATTATTCCTTTTATTGTTTAGTTAAAACTTAAACTACGAGTTTCAAGTTATGTTAAAACCAGGGGTGAAATTCTCAAAAAAAGAGAAAAAAAGTAGAGGTACTCAGCTGGATGAAGTGAACTTGTTTTTGAAAAAGAAAAAAAAATCTACGTGTAAACATAAAAAACGACACAGTAGTTCAAATAAGTTCCAGTAATAGTACAGATGAATACCGGCAGAATTTCACCCCTGATTAAAACCCAACTTACCTTCTAGGTAAAGCACGTTGAAGTCGAGTAATTATGTATTATAAAATAATGAAACTGACACAAGCTTCCTCTAGCGGTGACGTACAGCTATTAATATTGTGAAAAATTATGTAAATTCAGGGGTTGAGGAAGCAATTTTTAATTGGTCAGTCAATTCAGATTAGTGTTCAAAGCATGTCAGTGTAAGGGGGTATGAAAGCATACACCCAAGAACATTTTAAAAAATAGGTGCTCTATAACTTATTGAAAGTATTAATCATTTGCAAGCACTTCTTTATGATTCACAAAATATGTTCTCACTGGCATTTTTACTCAACATAGCTATAAGTAAGCACAAGCACTTGCACATTACATATGTAATTTATTATGCATTGTTATACTGATTCGTACATACTATTATAAGTCTACCTATTTACCTAGAAACAATTTTTAAAGTGCAAGTTAAAGTTTACTTAAAAGCCGTACAATTACTGTGACAAAATGTAACCTTATAGTCCAACCACTAAATAAAAACCCTTCCTTGCCCTAAAAGTACTTAGTTAACAAGATATACATAAGTGTTAAAACTTGTATTCTAGTTGTTTGGAAGTTTTATTTTGGAAGTTTATTGTTGTTAGAGTTTAATAAACTGTTTTTGTTCGATGCTGGTTGTAGTGGCATTTTGTTTTAGTCTATTACATTGGCACTGAACAGAAACCCTTTCACATAGGGTACAAACAAAAGTACCTATCCCCAGTGACGGGAAAAGTTTAAGTTAATCTATGAATTTTAATTAGTTCATGGACATTAAAAGGGTTAATTGTGTTGCACTCTTGGTTTCACTCAGAGCCAAAACTGTGAGCTACTTAAACCGTGAAAAGTAATTGTTGCGCATTTCAGTCATGCTAACAATAACATACAGTAAGTCTCTATTTTCGTTCATTAAGTTATGTCACATTTTGAAATGTGAATGGCAGTGTGATTAATTCCTAACAAGTTGTTGTATAATATCCTGCTTGCGAAACAAAATTTGGCATTAACATTATTTATGCCTGTTCTCCTGTCATTTCAAAAGTGAATGTTGAGATTTGCTAGCGTGTCAGCTTTTCAAACGGGAAACAGTCGAACGCTCGGACAGACATCATGGTTCGCAATATATATATATATATATATATATAT